AATAAGTAACAGGACTTTTGAATAAGGAATGGGTTATATTTTGTGTTTTTAGTGGTATATTTAACAATTTTAGGGTGTCATCTAGATGAAGAGGGGGTGCTAGTATGATGAAACAGGTATTCTAGCATCAAAATCATAAAAAAACATAAAAAAGTTGAATAAGTAACCGAATAAGGAACCGGGAATAAGTAACCAACTTCACATTTGAATAAGTAACCGAATAAGGAATAAGGAACCAGGAATCAACTTCACAGGGGTTTAAATATGTCGAATTTTATTTTGTCATCAATGTTTTTGGTTTGCCATAGACGCTCTCATTAACGTACCACGCTTGTTCTATTAGCTGACTCTCATTTACTCTGTGTAAAAGCTCAACGTTACGTTTGGTTACATCGTATGAAAGTTTCATATTCTTTCCCGATGTCCTGATTACTGCACGCTTTTTCATAATCCGTGCTTTAACATCAGTGTTCTTAACTTTCATTAATATTGGTCTCTCCTGTCCTCGCTTTTCAGGGCTCCGTATCTCGAAAGGTTCGCTATGTTGCGCACGTGTGTTAATGTCTCGATTCCATAACCGATTCTATTTCAAGATACAGGGTTATGGAATCGAGACACTTGCGTACGTGCAAGTGAGTCTCGATTTCATGGCCCCGTATCTCGAAATAGAATCGGTTATGGAATCGAGACACTAACACACGTGCGCAACATAGCGAACCTTTCGAGATACGGAGCCCAGGTATCCTGTGAACGGCAACGATCTCTTCACTGGTCACCCGTACACCTGTTTCCGTCTGCAGCAGTTTTGACACCGTGTCGACCATGTATTCATTTCTCGTCTCTTTTTCCCGTACATCTTGATGTTGTTTTTTCGGGAGTATTGCTCATTGTAGTTGGCATTGATTTGAGCTTCTTTGGACATGTTGCCAGCTTCCTCTGCTATATTTGCTAACCTTGTTATTTCTCTTTTATTGTCTATAATCTGCTCTTTCAATAATTCGTTTTCACTTGACAGGTCATCGTATCCCTCTTTCAGTCTTCCTAATCTCACGTCGAATTTCATTTCCATTTCTAAAAACCTCAAGTCTTTAACCATCACATCTGCCATAGCTTTTATTTCGCCCACCTCATCTTTTATTATTTGTTTAAATTCAGTTTTAATTTCTAGCATTTCTTGCATAATGAGTTGAGATTCAGCGCCACTGGAGTTTGAGAATTCCGAGTGAAGTCTTTTCGTTGACTGAGATGTTTTCGAGTTATTACGCTCGTTTGTTTCTTTAGTTCCATTCATCATGGGGCGATGAACCATACACTGCACACATTAATATGTGCAGGTAGCATGGATAATGAGGGAGTAATTCACTGATGTGTTCATTGATCAGGGCACTTACAGTGTTACGCAATATTTCCCTTACATGATTTACCTTTGTTCATGAACAATACTCATGCTTAGTTCAATCTGTACTTGGAATGTTATATATACGAAAGCCGTCAAAAAAGCACTTTTGTTTCACAGTTTTCAAAATTATATCGGTGCACGGTCTATTCATGTCACCGTAACTCACCCCGATCGCTCTGTCGCCCCGCACATCCCTTGACTGACGGTAACATTTGCGAGCTAGCACACCCCTGTCTCCAGCTCGTCGGCCATCTTTTCTTTTTATGATCAAACTTGTGACGCACGAGACTTGTGACTTCCAAATATGAAAGCGCCCTGGGCAAAATTTTGCTGAAGAACGCCCCAGGTTGACGCTAGTGGCTAGAGTTTTGTATTTTTGATATGGGTTGTATATGAAATCAAGATCGAACTGGCAATAGGGAAATCTAGAACCTAGGGTAGAAGTTTGAGACCTGCAATGCAACTCTTGGATAGAGCACGTATCGACAGCTGCCCTCTGTTTGCTTGTGAATTTTTACTAAATTCTAGGTAGGCATTACTGCGAATGTACTAAATAATGTTCTTAGAGCTAAAATTGAAGACATTAACTATTTTACCTGTGAAGCACAAGATAACATCATATGTGAAAAAGCAGCTGTGCCCCTTCGTATATTACCCCAGCGGGCAAATCAACATTGAATCAATGTTGAATCAACGTTGATGGTCAACGTTGAAACCATGTTGATATGACGTTGACTATGAAAGTTGACTCAATGTTGAACCATCAAGGTTGAATCAACCTTGAGGTATCAATGTTGAATCAACGTTGACAGTCAACATTGAAACTATGTTGATATGACGTTGACTATGAAAGTTGAATCAACGTTGAACCATCAAGGTTTATACCATGGATATTGTTATCCATAGGATAGCCTATCCAGCCTTGATGAGAACGGTCAAGCTGTATTAATACGCAGCTAGAACATATGCTCCTGTCAGACATAGTTTCCTTTGAACACAAAAATACCAGTTCTACATAATAATTGTTCGTTCAATTTTAATAAACACAAAGCGATACAAGTCGGTGATTTTCAGTTGGTTAAAATTGGCAGCAGAGTCTGATTAAAATGCAATCAAGGTAGAAAAAATAAAGTGAGCTCGACTCCCCAACAGAGCGATGTTACTATCTATATGCAAAAATTATCTTAACTTCTCCCGCTCTACAGTTATTATAATTTTGATGAGGAAAGATTTTAAATTATAAAATTGATTTTTATTTATCATCTTTCATGTAAACAAATAATATCATTAGAATTAACATAGCCAAAAAGTCAAAGCATAAATCATAATCTGAAAATATTGCTATTATTATTATTATTATTTATCACCAGACTTTAGGGAACAATTTCTTAAATTGTGTGCAAGTGGCAAGATTCCAGTATACAGACAGCGAGTAGCTGTTGTTGGACCTTACGGCGTGGGGAAGACTCATCTCGTCAAGCGTCTCATCCAAGAGAAATATGATGAAAACAACGATGCAAACACACCTGGCGTGAAGATATACCGCCATAGATGTATTGTCCATAAAGGTGATCGATCTTGTTGGATTAGAGGAAAGGGTAAGCAGAATATAAAAATTGACACATCTGACACCAGTGGGTTTGGGTTAAGGTTAACGGAAAGGATAGAAGAAATGAAATTTGAAATAGCAAACAATGATTATTATGTATACGTGACTATAGTCATGTTGGTGACAAAATGTGTCTTTCGCTATCTTTCTGTGTTGGACGAAGGGCTGGTGAAAAAGTATCTTCAGGAAGCGGAATCCTTTGCATGGTTAACAATTGATTGCCATGCATAAGGCTTCACAATTAATGCACTCTTTAAGGTGTACAACTACGATAATTTTATTTTCTGTAAAAGTCAGCCTGACCTAATTTACTGGGGATTGGAGTAAAACAGTTTTTCAACTTCACAGTCTGATACCCACCCTCAGAAAGGATACATTTCAATACAAATCTTGATATACAAACCGGCCTTCTTACCATTTCTCAGATAACCCTGAAGATCAGTTTGTACAAAACATGGTAATCGGAATACAGAAACCAGAGACTTTCGGTGATCCAGTAAAAATGGACCGAGCGACATCACTGGAATCCCTAACACATGTGGAAAAGAGGAGAAGAATGATGGCAAATAGAGGTACATTTTTATGTCGAGCAGCTCATCTCCTAGAGTAAAAAAGCAGATATGGGTTGTTACTCTTCTTTACTTGCAAAGAAATTGCACCATCTATGTGTTTATTGGTTGGTGATCATATGAACCTTCAAAAACGAAAACATTTTATTATTTGAAAAGTATCCCCAAAACAAAAAGTCCCCCCAAAAACACACACACACACACACACACACACACACACATATTTAAATATGTAATAAAATGAATTTGTAAAGTAAAAACTTTTTGTACCTTTTATACAGTTTAATTCGACATTTTTTGTATACTTTAGCTTTTTATACTTGAATGATAATAAAAACGCTTTATTTATTTTACAGCCTCTCCTACAGGTGACAGTGGATCATATACATCCCCTGGCAGAGCAGCAGGTAAGTAAAACGCATGTAGATGTGGTATAAATAGAGTTCATCTGTATTGTTCACAATTTTTATCTTAGCTTGTAACTTAGGTCGAGTGCAGAGATTAAATTTACTACAAACTATATAAGCATTGAAGTGTCCATATTCTTATTGTCATCCACTTATCTATAAATGTTATACTAAATTTGATAAAACCTTCAAATTGGCATGCAGTAATTTAAACCGGTTACTTTTGTAACTTAAGAGTGTTGACCTGGGGATACTGAATGAAATATAATCAGTGCCGAAAGGTTTTCACTGAGGAGTAGAAACAGGTTGCACTATTAAGGTTTTAGACACCAGGATGTCTCATACATCACATATTAAATGGTCCTTTCAGAGTAGACCCTAGCTCGACTTGCCAGAGTTTTGACTTGACCAAGACCCCAATTACAAAATCCGGATTTACTTTCTTCAGTTGCCGATAAACACCCTTTAGAATTAATGCTTACGGGCCTGACATTATAACATAATATGCACCCTCAGAGACAGAAAAAAACACAATCTATGTGATAACTGTTTTAATTGCCATTTGGATAAAAATATATACGGATTTTGTGAGGAATTAACGTGCTGTTTTTAATTAATCTTTATTCTACAGCCGCTACCCCTGGCGACAGTGGATCACATGCCTCACCTGTCCAAACACTAGGTAAGTAGTTTATCGCTCATAATGCATTAGTTCCAATTCTGAAATAAATGTTTTTGAATGCACTATACTGGGTTAATATCTGAGTGTCAACATTATTACACCTGCTATTATAATGAAAAATTACTTTGCATTCTGAACATAACTTATTGTATTCCACGCAGACTATCTTAAGAATATTGACCCAAAGCTATTGGGTAAAATAGAGAAACTAGCTCGAAAAGAACATGTGGATCCTGAGAAACAGGTTACAATTTGGGATTTTGGAGGCCAGGATGTCTACTACACTACGCACCAAACATTCCTCTCAGAGCATATCATCTATTTGTTGGTCTTCCGACTTGACGTAGACCTCGATGAAAAAATCCCTGTGTACAGAGGGGAAAAGACGGTTAAAGGTATGCTGTGGTATACATTTTATCTATATATGTTAGGTAATGATCTCCTGTTAAAATCGGTCAGTCAACAGTATGCAACTTTTTTATTAACCGACGATATCTTAGCAACGTTGGGGAGAAAACACTGATGAACTTTCATCTTTATACTTACCTTTCAATACATTTCAGAGTTTATAATGTTTTGGTTGAACTCTATCCATATGCACACAGTTGAACGATTGAGGGAAGAAGACAGGGATGTCATTCCATACGTCTTGATTATTGGAACTCATAAGGACATGTTAGGCCCACAGGTAATGACGCTTTTCTATCAATTTTTTAATTCTTTACTAACATACGTCTAATATACGTATTGTTTGTATCCCTCTAATCTTCATATTACGTCGCGATGCATGAAATTTTACACGATTCTTTGAAAAAAGTCACTTTTTGTAGTTGGCATGATTTAATTCCAGTATGACAGGAATGGAAGTCCTAGGAATGGAAGCCCGAGCTCCCATATGATAAGTACGGGTTAGGGTTAGTTGGAATGTTTGGGCTACTAAATTGGACACATGTCACATCTACAAAGTGCATGTAATGGGGAACGGACTACGGTTCCTAGTGGACTACCATTCATGTCACACCGGGAAGAAGGTTTCAGTTACCCTTCACCGCCTTCTTTTCTATTGGCTTATTACAACATATGTCACATAGATTCATTTTTCTTTTGCACTGAAAATGTATCATTATGTTATTGAACAACTAAGGAATTAAATATTAGCGCGCGTTTATTTATAGGTTAATGTTAAAGACATATTTGGTAAACTCATGGAGTGTCTCGACGACAAGCAAGCACTGAAGGCCCACGTCTACGAATATATTGCCATAAACAACTTGGCCGAAAGTGATGCGGAGTTTGATGAAATAAAAAGTGTGATCGAAAAGCTGTGTGGCTATAGCAGCGGCACTGAGGCGTCCGTTCATAAGTTTTCAGTGAGTTCGATTCAACTAGAAATGGATTTGGCAAAGAAGAGCGAAGAATCTCCTATCATAACAGTTGACGAACTGTGTAAAATGGCGCAAAGGGTAGGACTCTCTGACGAAGAATTACGAAACAGTTTCATTCCTTACCACCACCACCAAGGAGACATCCTACACTTCAAAGTAGATGGACTGGAAAATGTCGTCATAATAGATCCACTTTGGTTAGCAGATGTATTTTCTGCCATCATGACCCCTTGCATCAGTGAAGATGAATGCAGTCACATCGGGCTACAGAAAGCTGGTTTGAAAAAAGGAGTGCTACAGGAAGAAGTGTTTGATGAATGTCTAGAAGAAAACAGTATGACCGAGAGAAAGGCCGATATTATTCGACTTATGTTGCATTTCGACCTGATGCTAGAAATATCTCAGTCAGTTGAAAACCCACTTCCAGGGCCTGGAAAGAGAACATTCCTCGTGCCTAGTATGCTGGTGTCCAACAAATGTGAAAATAATGCGATATCTGAGAAAGATCCAGAAAAATGTTTGCTTATCGCATTCCCTCACATTCTCTTTCCTACTGGGTTATTTCATCAGTTGACCACCCGTCTTCTGAGGAAGTATAAACCTCTGGATTATGAAAATAACATCCCAGTTGTTGGGTTTGACCGAGCCTCCTTCTTTTTAGACAAACAGTCGGTGCTCCATCTAGCCATTGAAGAAAACGCTATGAAAATGACGATTACAGACGCTCACACAGGCTCACAAACAAAACCTCACATATACTCAAACGCACGGAAAACCGTCGAAAAGGAGTTGTCAGCTCTTCGGGACGCTTACTGTCCCAGGATGCAGTTACAGTTCCGTATTAGGGTAAAAGTAGGCGACAAAGATATCCCAATAGACGCAGAGGACGTCCAAAAAAACGACGTGATATATAAATGTATAGAAGGTTCTGAAAAACCGATTGATATGACACCGTATCGTGTTTGGTTTTCAGGTAAGCAGTAAAAAACTTATCTTATTACCCATATGTAATTAAATAATAAATCATTTAGTTCCTTTATGCAAAACTCCTCCTTCTTTGGCAGCGATATAAACATATGGTTTAATTATGGTATTATCACCGTTATTCTTTCCTGAAGATTAAGCAGTTTTAGTTTTTCTGTCCAATTTTAGGTGGAAAATTTGTTGGATTTCAATCTTACAATATTATTTAAATGTACTCAAATTCTATACCTGTATTTCTTGACTTAAATGTGCATGTATTGTACTTATTTTATAGAAATGGTACAGTGTTATTAGCATGTATTCCCTGTTCGTATAACAGTACATTCCATTGCCTAAATATTTCTGTTGATTACCAGATATTTTACACACACGCGAGCGCGCGCCCGCGCGCACACACACACACACACACACACACACTTACTACTTTTTCCTCTCTCTAAAACCTAAAATAAAAACATTAATCACTATCATATTTTTATTAGTAGAAGCGAATGTCCCAGATGCGTCTATTTCTGCACAGAAGTTTGCAAGGCTGCATTATCTCGTTACTGAACTTGGAACGAAGGCAATTAGAACTTTCTTCCTCAAGGATGTTGTTAGGCCTGACCTCACTAATGCCAATCACGTCAGTGATAAAGATGCAGTGATTCGGTTTTTCAGTAAGCATGAAACAAAACTTAAGGAAGCAAAGAAGTGCATGAATGCTTCTCAGCTGAACCTGCTGAACTCTGCCTCTGGTCAAGCAGATGTTGAAAGGTTTGACATAACATTGCTGGTGTTATTGTTAAGTAAATTTCAACCAGACAAAGACAACCTAGATTGGATAACTCCCGACCAAAATGCCACTTTACCTTTCCCTCCACAAACAACACAAGATTTCGTCTACCACATCTTACGACTGAAGAAAGTCAGGAATTATCTGAGTCATTCCCCGAAATATGGAGTCCAAGACAACGCGGAATTCTGCACAAATCGGGATATTGCTTATGCTTCTATTCTAGCCCTCGGTGCAGATCCAAAGGAAGTGGAAAAGACACAGAAAATCATGTTTACCGTAGAGGAGATCGACAGTGTGTGAAATACGCAGCTGGGCCGAAGATAACAAACGGCATTTCGACAGTATATTTGACAGGCTTGGATTATTAATATGCTGCTCTGTTTTTGAAATGCCGTCCCCATTGCGTTTACCATGAATTGCCGCAACTGAAAGGTTGAGATGAGGTCCGCCTTCAGTCGCATGTGACATAGGTTGATGGTGCAATATGTGAACCGTCTAATTTTCACCCAGTGATGTTAAACAAAAATCAGACTATTACATGTATATAACGAGATACCATAGGCTTATCACAGATTTGATATGTGTGTGTGTGTGTGTGTTTTGAAAACAAACAAACAAAACATGGGATTGAGTGGAATCATGAAAAAAATGTGTAAATAGCAAGATATACGTGAGAATTAAAATTTGATATGTCCAGTTTGTACCTAAATTTAGTTAATCATAGTTATTCGAAGTAACAATCTTAAGGCTATATTATTTTAAGTATTTCAATATGTGTGACTCGGTCATCTATTTTGTTATAAAAAGGTTAAATGCATAAAATAAATGCAAAACAACTCCATGTGATTATCATCTAGACCTGGCTGATGCATCATAATATATCCATGTACTACCGGTAGTATATCTGTAAGACCAAAGCATGAGAAGACAATTAAAATTGTGGACGTGCATTTTGTGCAGATTTTAAATTCAAGAACATAGCTATTGTTTCATTCTCTCATACGTGCACGATGCCGATTTTTGAAATGTATTATTGACGGGCTACAACAGCTTTAACAGCTAAATCATACTGTAATAGCAAATGTGCATTGAAAAGCTACAAGTACATGTTTTAATAAAAATTTATTTGACAAATTGGATGAATAATTACTATAAATAGTTTTCTTCTTCAAATTTTTTTAGACTGGGTCCACTTAGAGGACCCTATATGCCGTGTATATAAGTTTGCGAATTATACTCTGTTCTTTAGTATAGTTGAGTATTGCCACTTTCTCACTCACGCGTCTACACCGAGCAGGCCTTGCGAGATTACTAGCACCCTATATAGATTCAGGCGGACAGAATGAGCTAAAATAAAAGGGGTGAAAAGCGCATAGACTTTAAAACTTCTCAGAACCCATTTATATGTCACTGCAATCTCAATGATACTGTATTGTGCAATTCTTTCATAACAGTCAATTGATAAATGCAACGATTGACTTTTGATTTGTCGCTGGCAAAATCGCAAAATCACTGCATTGATGGGAGAAAAATTCGAATTCTTCAATTTATGCCACATTGGCAAGGAATGCTATATTAGTGGCCCCAAAATTAATCACTGTATATCTTACACTCGCATTGATGAAATAGCATTTTATTTTCTAAACATGTTTTCGGCCAGATCTTCTAGTTGCATGTTGTGTGAAAATTAACAAACGTTAAGACTATAGAAAGGTGCAAAAAAAATTGATATCAACTTCAGCGTTGGTTTTCTTTAAAAAAAAAAAAAAAGTTCAAAATGGCCGACTGTCCAGACAGGATGTTAAGGGCTCTCTGAAAACTTTTAATTTAATGCCTAAACCAGAAGAATTACTTCATATGAACTAACATAAGAAGGAATCTTAAGATCCCAGGATCTGCAAGTGGACTAAATTAAGGAAGAAGACAGGACAGAAAAACAGTTTTTTGAAGTTTTTTGAATACACAAAGAAACCCTCATTGGAGCACACATCAAAGATGGAGGACACAACAAAGATGGAGGATCACTACACATTACTTGGGATCATACCTGAAGCTACACCGGAGGTGATAACACAAGCTTTCTCTACTAAGGCAAGTACAGTGAAAGATCTCAACACACCTGAAAATCAAAAACTTTTACAATCATATAGCATAGCCTACTCAACTCTAGTAAACCAAACATCCAGGATTACCTATGACAGGGAGAATGGAATTGTCACAAACTATGATTACACTGATGAGTACTTTGGTCCAATAATTGAATCTACCACCCACAACAGTCGCTGTGCCACTATCAAAATCAGCTCTGTAAGTCTAGTGAAAAGATGGCTAGAAGTTTGTAGGCAGTACCACAAACCCGACACAGAGGTAGAGGTTAACAATGGCACTGGAACTCAACTGAAATTCACCTATAATAGCACATCAGGAGCCAAACTTGGGACAGTATCTTTAACCCTGTACCACACTGCAAAGTCCAAAAAAATACATATTCAAGGGGATGCATATATGCTTTGGTTGGCAAATGACTACCCCAAAATGGCGATGATCGTCTCATCACCAAAGAAATTACAGCCTCCCAGTATCCTTGAACCCAGCAAACAAACAGCCAAAAATGACCACATAGAGGAAAGGGTGGAGATAGAAAACAGCCAGACTGAAGTAAAACAGAGAAGTGCACATCAAACACCAAAGGGTTTCAAGATAAAGGGGAATCCTAATATGAAAGAGAAGAAAACAGATCGTGATATTAGTAAAATTCAAGAAACACTACAAGCAGTGGAAAACCAGTACTCTGAAATTATATTCAGGACAGCAGATGCAAAAAGACAGGAAGCTAAGACTAACAGCACAATAACAGAGGAAGTGGAGCAAATTAAAGGATCATTAACAGAGCAAATGGAAGCATTGTCTACACTCTCAACACAAATTCTCAAACTAACAGAGACAGTGAACAAGATACACTCTAAGCTCCTACCCACAAAACAAACAATGCATGTGGGAACTCAATATGAAGAGCTGAATACGTGTGAAATAGGAACACAATGGGAGCATCCTCATATGACCCCCACAGAACTTGAGAACAATGACAGTAGAAACATGACTGATACCATCTCTGATAACCCCCCACTTGCTATGCAATTATCTCCAGATAATAACCTGGACACTACACCACCCCCACAGGTCGCTATCCTGACACCATCAACAATTGCTGTGGAGACCATTCAGCCCAAATCAAACCCAACATCTGAAGAAAGGAGAAATGCCAAACAACCTACTTCAAGGGAAAAGCCATCAGTGAAAATTACAAGGGAAAATACATGCCCACCTGTTGCAAACACTGAACATGAAACTGGATTAACTGGATTAACGACACTTGTGGAATCATCCCAGAACTCACCTGTGCTACCTGAGGAGAATGAGTTGACAGAAGAGAGAGTAACCTTGAACACAGCAAGTTACGAAAATGTAGTCATAACAAGCTCCATTGGGAAAGGATTATCTGCCAACAGACTCTTTCCACACTCTAAAAGTAAATGCTTCGTACTGAGTGGCAAAAAAATCAACGATGCAGCGGAATTAATCGGAGAAAAAGATTTTGGCACACCTAAGTCAATCACACTTATTATTGGATCAAATAACATTAGCGAGGGACAACATCCGCAAACTGTTGTAGACGAAACAATGGCGCTCATAAACAACATTGAGCAGAAGTACCAAGAGACTCAAATTATCATCAGCAAAATCTTGCCACGATGGGGAAATCGCAGCTTTAATGGGTCTGCGGTACTTATCAACCGTCAGGTACAACATCTTTGTCGTTCACATGCCAATGTCCACTACATGGACAATGACAACATAACTGATAGGAGAGACCTATTTGCATGGGATGGCATTCACCTCACCCCGCATGGGACCAGTACGCTGGCAAGAAATATTAAGGATGCAACAGGACAGCCAAACCCCCGCACCACACCTAGACATGGCCACAGCCCCAGTGCTACCTACAGTCACCAGCATCGCCAGCACCATAGGAACCACCGCAAATGGAATCAAACACCTAATCAGTGGAATTCCCCCAAGGAAAAGGGTAACTCTATCGAGAATGAATTGAAACTACTACGTGAGTGTTTAAGCAAACTGGAAACTAAAATCTGCTAAATGTCAAACACTTATGAACACTAGTGTAATATGGAACTGATTAAACCAATAACAACCAAGTAAGTGTCACTAATACAGAAAGAAAAGCTGAAATGTAAGTACCTATGCTCCCTCTTATGGTAACAATCCGTTCCTTAATGATGAAAATGTCAGATCATTAAAGGAAAAAGCATTGTAAATTATGAAGTATAAAAGTAGTTTAGTGAAATTGGAAATACATATCGGACAGAGATATATTAATGAGTGTGTAGAAGCACAGACATGTCTCAAGGAACATAATCAAGAAAAACTATTAAGAATATTATACTTTGTTTGGAAATGTAACGGCTTAATAGTTAAATATTGCATTGTTAGAAGTTAAAGGTTATAGTTTATATGTATAAGTATAGCATTATGGTTAGGCATTAAATTTACTTTTCTTGAGTCAATATACCAATTACAATATGTTACGTATAGGCATGCGGAATGTTAGGGGACTTGCTAAAAAATTAAGTGATGATAATTTCATTTCAACAGTTCAAAGCTTTGACATATTTGTTTGCGTAGAAACTTTCAGCACTATAAGATCTAAAATAGCTTTACCTGGTGGCACCCATGGCCACACTGAACAACTCAGAAAGAAAAAGAAAGTTAAAGGCAGACCCTCTGGGGGTATAGTAGTATATTACAGAAAAGAATTCATATTTAGGGAATCAAAGTGCTTAGAAGCAAGAGTGAAAATCTGTTNGGTTTTAAGTGCTTGATGAATTCCCCATTCAAATGGATATCTTGAATAAATGGTCTGCTTTTTTACTTTTGGCGGCCATTTTGGATTTAATACACCTGAAGGATTCATACCATGGTGTTTTCTAACCTTTATATGATATTTTAAGTCATTAGAAGACTATGTACTTGAAGTTTTAATTTGAAAAGATATTTTGGTGGCCATATTGGATTTGACGGCCATTTTGGAATTTTCAGACATGCCCATATATCTAAATTTGCTTAGAATTTTATTGTCCATAAGTGTGCCAAATTTCATGCTTGTAGGTAAAAAATGCACAATTTTTCACCAATTTCCTGGACTACTATGTTCTTTGGGAATTATATATAAAATAGTCTTTTCAGGCGTAAAAACTACGTATTTTGGCACTGTCACAATTATTTAATTTTAACATCAAAATTTAATTCATTTTAGTAAAAGGATTCACAATAAAAGCGGCCGGCGTCGGCCAAGTTTCGAACATCATACTTGTGTTTGTCACTTTATTGCTCCTTTCTCGGCATCGTATTGAACCTTTAGATCAAGGAGACATAAATGCACTTAAAGATGTGTAAATGGGCACTTGGTGTGAGAAGGTCAGCTAGCAATAATGCCTGCCGTGCAGAACTTGGGCGTTTCCCGTTATACTTAGACATTGTCAAATTGGTATCAAGATACAGTGAAAGGCTGAATAACCTCCCAGAGCAAAGAACTGTCAAGCAAGCGTACAATAGAGAACAAGCAAAAAGGGGAAAAACTGGGTTTGGGCAATGTCAAAGTTGGCTGCATGTTGGGGACTTAATCACTCAAATTCCACCCCAATTGTCAATAAGATTCACAATAACCAAAATCTAGAAAGTGACATAGCCGTCAAAATAAAATCAGATGTTTGGGAAGGGTTACACAGAGAGGAAAATAATAAGCTGAGGACATACAGAGAAATTAAACATCAATATGAACCCTAACCATACTTAAAAATGAATATTTCACGCACCCACTCAAAACTTTTGGCAAAATAGCGAATTAGTGAACATGACCTAGAAATTGAAAGAGGGAGACATACAAACCCAAAAACACAACTTTCAGACTGAAAATGCCCCCATTGTAATGAGGTGGAAGATGAAATACATTTTTTCCTAAAATGCGGCCATCACGAAATTGAAAGAAAATTGCTATTCCAATGCATACCAGAGGTAAACTTGCAAGGTCTAACAGACGAGGTCAAACAGCTTGACATCATTCTAAACCCACCCACTGAACAGAGTGCAATTGCAGTAGGGGAATTTTATTAGTAAAAGTATGAAAAAACGTAATTAACTAGAAGTGCACAAATGATTTCATGCATCTCACCTGTACATTACTAGAATGTATATTGTATAACATTATATAGGTATAATTTTTTCATTTATTTAGTATTAATACTACTCTCAAT